GCAGGCACTGACCTCTTCTCTCTGGCAACCAGTGACAGGATCCAAGGGAATGGTCTGAAGTTGTGTCAGGGGAGGCTTAGGCTGGATATTAGAAAGTGGTTCTTCACCCAGAGGGTGATTGGGCACTGGAACAGGCTCCCCAGGGAAGTTGTTACACCACCAAGCCTGACAGAGTTCGAGGCATTTGGACAATGCTCTCAGGCAGATGGTGTGATTATCAGGGATGTCCTGTGCAGGGCCAGGAGTTGGACTACATGATCCTCAAGGGTCCCTTCCAACACTGTATATTCTGTGATTCTCTTTCCAGAGCACGCCATGGTTTAGCTAAAAAACAACAGTCAAAGGTGATTTGAAGTATTGTGCTTCATTCTTGCATTATAGTATGGTCAGCAGGGAGTGATGAGCTTTTTCTCACTTCATGGCTGCAACAAAAGGCCTGGTGGAATAGGATCTGCTCTACAACAGCTAACTCAGCTCTGTGGTGGGGGAAAAAATATTGGGTCTGTTCTCATATGTGCAGCCTGATGTTAATTCTAAATGGCACCTCACTTCCTTGTACTGTTTCACACACATGCAAAAGAGAGAAGTGTCAGCAAACACTTCAGGTTTTAAGAAAATGCTCCCTACAGTTCAAATGTTATTACACATCTCTGGTCAATTTTCTGACATGAAGAAATGATTATAACAATTTGAAAATGTTTCAGGAAGTAACATATGGCATGCATGTGATGTATGCTGTAACAAAATTCAAGGAAGTGGTAAATCTACAACCATCTGTGCAAAACAAAATTACTCAAGAAAAAAGTAAACAAGCAAATACTGCAAATAACCCATGATGAGCAAAGTATCATAGAATGGTTTGGGTTGGAAGGGACCTTAAAGATCATCTAATTCCAAGCCCTCTGCCATGGGCAGGGACATCTCTCACTATAGCAGGTTGCTCAAAGCCCCATCCAGCCTGCCCTTGAACACTGCCAGGGATGGGGCATCCACAACTTCTCTGGGCTATGTGTTCCAGTGCCCTGCTACCCTCACAACAAAGAATTTCTTACTAGTACCTGATCTAAACCTACTCTCTTTCAGTTTAAAGGCATCACCCTTTGTCTGGTCACTAGATACATTTGTCAAAATTCCCTCTCCAACTATCTTGTAGGCCCCTTCAGGTACTGGAAGGCTGTTATAAGGTCTCCCTGGAGACTTCTTCTCCAGGCTGAACAACTCTAACTCTCTCAGCTTATCTGCATATTAGAGGTGCCCCAGCCTTCTGATCATTTTTGAGACTATAATTTCTTTTGACTAGTTCTGAGTTTAAAAAAACTCCCATATACACACAAAGGTTTTAGCATCATTGATCTGTATTGTAGAAACACGTTACCTTTGTTGGTGGCAAGGACCTTCACAGACAAGTGAAGAGAATAGATCTAAGAAAGTATCATGAGGTTGTCTCTTGATGTTTCAGCAGACTTGTTTTGGAGAATTATCTCACTTAACATGTATTTTGAGTGCTACTTGCTCCTGTAGCAAATCCATACACTCCCAAGTTTACTTTTACTACCATAATACTTTGTATGAAAAAAATCACACCAAAAAAAGCATTTTAGCATCTATAACAGGCTTAATAGGGATTAAGCACTGTAGAGCTAACACATTGTCATCATAGCTGTATCTTTTTATACAGAATAATAGGGTGAAGCAACATAATGCTATACTTGTACAGCAAACCCAATACCGGATGAACCACACAGTTGTGTTGACAATGCTGATTAACTGCTATACCTTGCATTTGCAGTGATTAATTTCATGTGAAAGCATCCTAATAATAGATGTTCAGACTGAACTCTGCTATTACACAATGGGACAGTAAATTGGACAGTAGGAGATTTGGGTCTTGCTGAGAGATAATGATGAGCACTTGTCAGTGTAGCAGTCAGTCTACTTCCAAACAACCTAAAAATGGATATCCTGCTTATGCTATCTGCATGGAGAAACCTGGAACATCTTCAGTGTATGCAAAGGCTAACCCCAGTGGTTGAGTCTAAAGCTGCTAAAGTTTCCTTTAAATACTTCTGCATGATGCACAGGAAACCAAATCAGGTAAAAGGATGCTGACATATAAACTTACTTACTTGAATGCCTCTCTAGGTCTGCCTCCTTTTTCAATGAAATAAAGTAGGCATTATATCATTCATGTACCAAACATGTGCAAATAAACCTTACTAGTCAGTATTTTTGGCCTGCTTTCTGTCACAGGATCTTTAACTAAAGCAGTATTGCAGTGCCTGTTAAGACCTCCTGGAGCACTGATTGCAATTATTAAAACTCAGGCCTTATTGTTTATGTGACTTTTGTCCTTTATTCCACTGTTGTCTGAATGAATTTCCCTTTACTTCATTCCTTCTGGGGTTTTGATCCCTCCATCCCTGATTAGACACTATGGCATGAAGGGTTTCTTAAGGATATGTCATGCTGCTCAAAACCACTGAAGGTCCAGTAGCACAGGACACATCATTCCATTTCGGTCAGACACAACACAAAACTTCAGGAGTCTGTTCCAGTTGTCAATTTTATTCGAAAGGTGTCTTCTATACATTTTTAATATATAGAAATAAATATGAAAGGCCTATACAAATATGAACACTTAAAGAGTACCAATACTGCCCTTCATTTTTTATACTCATCTTTCAATACTTATAGGGACAAAACTGCAGCAAACAACCCACAAACTTAGTATCATAAATTTTAAAAAAATCTCTGGTAACAGTTGTCGTTCATGTCTAACATAACCTTTTAGACTGAGATTTCTTTTACATACAGGCAACCTCAGCACAAAATATGTTCAGCTGCCTTTGAGAATTTCACAAGACAGACTGATGTACATTTTCCTCAAGATGGACAATAAAAAAAAAAGTTATGCATAAATTATACTCCAGTGCAGGAATTTGGCCTTATCACTCCTAATGACATACTGTGTTTACATCATATTTTCTAAATACATTCCAGTAAATGAAGAACATGATCTTGCCTTCAAGTAAAACCCAAGTCATTCAAGAAGCTTCAGAACAGGCATTTACTTTTATTTAACATGATTCTTCCCCAAGCTTTAAGAAATTTAATTTAACACCACATAAAATGCTTTTGATATAAAATATCATTAAATAAGTGTTTTGCTTCTTGTAAACCATAATTGATAGACTC